CTGCACATAACAGTAACCTTTGTTACTGTTACACTATGCAACCTTTGTTAAAAGGACAGCATTTCCACAAGGAATAGCATACTTATTAACAGCACTAACTTGGTTCTAGCTAAGCACAGAACAGACTTTTAGTACCAGAAAGAAACTAAGGTTACACAGCTTTTTCTTTAAACACTCTCTCCCTGCTCTGTCCCCCTTAGAGATGTGTATTTTCCTATAAATGTTGCCATTATTTTCCTCTTCAGGGTGGGATGCAAAGTTTATGGGGCCTCAAAATTATATAATTTTGCATTCCCTGTTTAAGAAAAAGATTAAAAAATTAATTACACATAGTTGGCAGGAAAGTGAATATTTATTTTGAATGAGAAAAGCAATAACAAACAACTGTAAATTTTCTAAACTTGAAAATACTATTAACATCACAAAATCTAGAAAACAATACAGAATTTCTGTTTTGTTAGTCAACGAATCTCTATGCTTTTTGGAGGTCTACGTTCTGATCATCTTCTAATACGACAATAATTTTGATAATATTTTCTATAGAGAAGAAAGAAAATTAAGGATTTTTTCTCCAACTGGTTGATAGAAAAAAATAGAGTTGGTACAGATAGTTTTTAAAAGTGCATTTCTGTTTCACAACTCATTGCTAGTTACGTTATAGCCATTAGCATTGTTCTGATATTTGGGGAAACTTCTGTCAAGTCTGTTTCGTAGCTGAGCTGAATGATTTGAAAGAGTTGTCCACAGAGCATATTCTGGCCCAATACAATTCAAACATTATTTCTCCTCCACTAATCACATCCTTCCTGTATCAGTGTTGTAGTTCACAATCGATAGCCGTAAAACCTCTATCTGTGAATACTTGTGTCACAACACTAGGTGAGATGGTAGGAGTATTCCTGGAAATATTTCTACAACAGAACAGTAGCAATATCTAAATAATGCAAACAAAATATTTCTCTAAACCCAAACTAAATAAATGTCTAACTCTTCTTCACAGATAGTCATGCCCCCTCTACCACCATTTGACCCAGAGGGCAGTGTGATAGGTGGGGATGTCACCTGGGGATTGCAGGTAAAATACCTTACTTTTGCAACAAAGAGAGATGACCACGTAAACACATTTATAAGCCCCTCCCACAGACATGGAGGGAGCTTCTTTAGCGTCAAAGTCACTCCTTCACTGTCCACCCCTCCCCATTATGGCCTTCCTTCCTGTGCCTTTTCCTTTAACCATTCCCATGTACAAACACACCTTTGAGTGAGGCCTGCTTGGTTTTTCTTACTCCTTCCAAATGCATTTGCCATCAAACCCTATTGTTTTTACCTTCAGTTTTACCTTTGGCCTGAATACTTCCAGTCTCATCCCTGTCGTCATAGCTAGGGCCACATCTCAGTAAGCCTCACTATTGTTAATTCCCTAAATCTTCTCCTTTCTTCATCCTCTTCTTTAATCCACCCTAGACAACTAAGAATTATGAGATTCCCCAAAACCTCAGGTTACCTTCTGCTATGAAATCTTCAGGTGGCATTTTATTATAAGTGAAGTCCAGCCTTGAGGGTATATGTAACTCTTCTCTACTTTTCTCTCCATTATTTCCCTGCTATCTTAAAGAAATTCTATTTCACCAAATTGCTTTTCCAGATTCTTTAGACTTGCTTTGAAAGTTTCCTTTTCTTGTCTTTGCTCTTACCATCCCTTCTGCATGGACTTTTCTCCCTCTTCTCTCTGCTTCTAAATGTTATAACTATTATCCTGGTCTCCTTGCAATTGTTTTTCTTACTCTCTTAGAGGTTTTCTAAAACAGCCATATAGCCATCAGTGATGATTCCCTTTACCAGAGCATGCATATTTTCTATTTGGTACTTATTATATGCTGTGTTCTACTGTCATAATATATATGTTTATATATGTATTAGTGTGCATATGTATAACCTTTTCCCCTAAATATCATAAGTAGGTTCTATTCAAAGCACTTTACTTAGAACCGAAAAGATAAAGCAAATTTAAGAAACACTGCCTTTAGGATGTATAAAATCTTGTAAGTGAGATAAGATAATAGCAAATGACTTCTAACAGAGGGATAGTAAGATAAGAGCCCTATATAGCAAATGCATGTATGTTAAATTGTTGGACTAATGCTGTCTCTCCCACTAGATGGCATAATTTTTAGAGTACAGACAGTTTCTCTTTGACTACAGTTTTTCTATTTCCAGCACTTAGTTTCTGGAGGTATTGAGTTCTCTGTAGTTGGAGATATTCATGCAGGTATAAATACTGGGAGATGTCCTAAGTACTGCTGAGAGGACTAAAACACTGGCTAGTGGTCTAGATGGGAGTATGAAGTACAACTGATCTGTGTGAAACGGTGTGAGTTCTCTGTGAGATAGTACTCTACAGGATACTGATACTTTATGGTTCTTTACCAAGAAGAAACACAATGCATCAGGTCGAGAGGTTGTAGAGACAGAAAAGTGGATGCAATTCTCAGTTCCAAGCTTCAGTTTCTTTACCTACTAAAATAGTAAAATCTAAAACTAGTTGCTAGTATTATCCTGAGATTAAGTGAATTAATATACAGTGACTGGAACCTAGGAAGTATTCAAAAGTTTTAGTTTTAATTTATTCCCTTTTAGCAATGGTAGAGCTGATAATGCTTATATGGAAGCTTTTGTTGAAATATTATTTTTGATTCGGCAAATCTACTTCAATCATGAAGATGGATCTACAAAATGTAAATGTACCGTCTTAGCAGAAGGTCAATGAAAAAAAGCTTTAAAATATTTAAAGTCTGGGTTACGATGTGTAACAAACTAAAATTCAAAAAACTTTTAAGACTCAGCTAACACTAATGATGGTTTTAAACAGCATTCTCAATTACAGTAAGCTGTTTCTTGTCAGGCCAGCTGCCAGGAGTGGATTTGATTACCTAAATACATTCTATGTGGTCAGAAATTTAACACTGAAAACTCAGCAGGGGAGAAAGAAGTCTGAAGAGTGAATTGACTCATAGCGTGATTTACAATAAAAGGAAGCTTTTCTAGGAAATTTTATCTGAAAGTTAAGAACTCCTTTGAGATTTTCACCATCAACTCAGCATGGTGCTATTATTTTGTTATTGAAACACTTAAACTTTTGTTTTTCTTACCCCTTGCAGAGGAATCAATAGTCTAAAATTAGAGCAGAGAGTAGCAGCTCTTGAGTGCTAATCGGGGTTGGGCACTAAGGATTTCAAAGATTGCAGCCAGCAGCCTATCAGCCACATATTAAACCTTACTCATTAAATTGTTTTCAGAAACAAAAATAATGAAAATATAATACAGGACAGGTTTTCATAAAATATGCTATAAACAGTTTTTCAAAAATATATCCATATACTTTTTACTATTATCAATAGTATGTTCTCCTAGATATATTTTGGGATGTCCGCCAAGCTCATAATACTTTTTCCTCTCTAAAAATTAGTGTCTCTCCATGTTGTCCTTGCGGCTGGGTCCCCAATAACTAAGTTTTTCTCTCTTCTTAATTTTAAAAATTGATCTGTTTAAGCCTCTATTTGGAAGACAAAAACACCATAGTGACAACGTACATAAAGATTGTTGAGCTAAACAGTTCCTCAAAGATAAAAGTGATCCTGCCACCCTTGTTGTGGATTTTTAATTCATTTAAACAAGTACTTATTTTTCACGTGCTATGTCTCTGGCAAGAAATGGCAGAACTAGGTCTAGTCCCTGAGTTTTTTTGACTTGTGGGTTTGTTTGCAGAGTAGAATATGATTTCTGTTTCTGGTTTTGCAATTTTAAGATTGTCTAAGTTTTTAAATATTAATACTTGATGTAGTAAAGATACTTAGATGAACACATTTCATCTGTTCCAGAAGTGGATTTTTACACTTACTTCACTCTTATAGATAAGTCAATATTTCATATTTAAGCAGTAACATTATTCCTAAAAATGAATACATGATAAAATTAATATACTCTTAGTAATACCTATAAACTATATTCACTTTATTTTATAGCTAAGTTTTGACTATTAACCAGTCCATATGTTTTGAGTGCCCCATATGTGACAGTAACTGTATTTGATGAGTTTATGTTTAATGAGAAATAATTTATATAAGACATTGAACAGGACAGCACGCTTATGGACAGTTGAATGAAACAAATACCTAGATCAGGAGATGGACATGCTGGAGAGGTTAAAGGCAAAATAAATCTTTTTCATAGTACAATGATCTGGCTTGCATCAGTTAAATTTAACATTTACAGAAGACTTCCTATTGTTACACTGTTAGTAAATTTTCCCTTTTTACAAGTTTCACAATCTAGTCTGAGAAATGAACACAAGGACCACAGTGTAATTAGTGGAATACTGACAATCAGAACTAAAGGTTAAAAGATGTTTAGATACATAAGATGACCAAAAGATAATAGTAGATAGGAAAGGAGGGGGATGCTTGGAAACATTGCATTTCGTCTGTTCATTGTATAATTTTTTGAATTTTTTATGCCAATCCCGTCTTTAATATGGTGAAAGAAAGAGTCAGGATATATAAATGAAAGACCAGCCACACGGTCTTACAATAGTCCCAAAGTGTATAATATAATCATATTATATTTGTCAAATATTTCTGAGTTTTATGCTAATATTTATCAAGTTCCGGAAATCTCTGAATACATGGCAATTCACTTTTTGTTTATAATTATTTCTCATTTGAAATCTGATCAAACTTCCTAAGGATAAGAAAGCCTCAGGATAGTTTGGTTCTTAAAATACAAGCTCTTTAACTAGCACTAACAGTGATGACACCTGTAAAACGAAACCTTTTCTCAAAATGCTCTCATTTAAACGCACTGCTTAAATTCTCTTGCAAATGACATTCGTTTCTGCAACAAACATTACCTGCTATATTCATGGTATATGAACGGTTTGAGACGTAGCTTGTTAACTAATCAATTGAACTCATCCTTACAACTTATTTCTTGAGAGTACTTACGTATTCTTCATAAGCTTCATGGGCTGGAGGAGGAGGCGCCCTGTATCCTGGCACTGTTGTTGCCCCCCGGGCTCGAGGGGTAGGGACACCTCTTGCTACAGGTGGCACTGGAAGGGCTCCACGGGTTACAGTGCTTCCTCGAGGGGTGAGAACACCTCGTCCAGGTGGTGGGGGAGGAGGAATGGCACCCCCACGGCCCCTAAGAGAAACAAGTCATGTATAGATGAGAAACAGGTGATGCGAGAAAAGAGACTATCACAGAAAAAGCTTTCATCTCACAGCCTCCATACAGTGAAAGAAATACAAATTTCTCTCTCTCTCCCTCTCTCTCTGTGTGTGTGTGTTTAATAGAAATTATATAAGATACAAAGTGTGTTGATATCTATAGAAGACAATAATTGCAAATACTGACTATGATTAGTTCTTATAAAAACCATGTAAAATACTTTGTTATTGTCTTTTACATAACTAAAAACCCTAACAAAGAAAAAAAAAAAACAAAGAAAAACCCACTCTGAATATAACCCCATTAAATTCCAAATTCTCCAAGAAGACACAAATCAGAGCATTGTCTGATATATGACTCACTGGACCATCTCTGAAACTGAGCAGCTGGATGTCTACATCTCCTCTATGCTGGGGATTATAGACAGTGATGGGCAATGCTGTCATTCACCAAAAAAAAAAAAAAAAAAAAAGTTGTCTGCACTTAAATAAAATGTGGAAGTCTAACCATAGTGATATCATTTTATTACAGCAGTTTAAGTTTGAGGTCACTTGAAATCACAACTCTTTGTCACTGATTTATCATCATGCATGTAACCCCCTGAGCTGGTGCAGTTCCTGACAGAATATATTTTCTTATGGTAACTATGGTGTTAGAGGAATACTTTAGTATCTGTAATAAAAATAATACACTGAATACTTTGTATTGCAGTTCTTGATACAAAATTAGCTTGCAATAAAAGTGTAAGATCAAATGGTTGTAGCCAATTTTTATGGTATTTTGAAGCTTTTAGAAAGGTTGAGTGTTTGTCTGAAGTCTTTGGGCAAAAGCACAGTTATTTCACTTTTTATTATTATGTCTGAAAGGTTGGCCTCTAGATAGCACTGCTTTCAGTGGGAACACTAAAGCTTTGGGAAAAAAAATGATGATCATTGGGATGTCAACAATCACAGTATTCGGCTGTAGCCACATATGGGGACGTAGGTTATGCTGTCTGCTATGAATAGCAGTCAGATTGCTCTTTCTTGCTTAAAGTAAAAGTGAGCTTTTATGAGTGAAGAATACGAATGCGGGAAAAGCCTTTAAAAAGTTTTAAATAGCTTATAGAGCTGATGAATAGAGAAATGATCAGATAACTTATTGTGAGTCTAATGTATAAAGAATACTCTCCTAGATTGGGAAAGGGTGAAACACAAAGACCCAGAGGCCCAGTGCTGGCTTCAAGTACAACATGGCTGAGAATACAGTATTCTGTATTATCATGATAATATATAAAGGGATGTAAAAACCAATTTTGCCTTCACTGCTCCTCCAAGCACATTTCCATTTCCTCATTAGCAAGATGAGCATATGTCCAGGTTTTAGAACTGTTGTCCTAGCTTCCTGTTCAGTTTAGCATTTTAACACTCTCAAAAGTATCCATGTGTGGACAATAAATTTATATGGTCACCCTACTGTAAACTATATGCACAAGTCTTCACTATACCATTGAATAGTCATGGGTAAGTATTATAACTACCCAGGCTTGAGGTAGATATATTTTTCTAATGAGTAAAATGCAGATTTATAAATTTTTAATACTTCCTTCTGCTCTAATATTATATGATGCTCATCATATCAAATCTAATTTTCCATTTTCTTCCTTCATCAACTGACTACCAGACACAGTCCTAGCAAACCTGTCTCCTGAACCTGACTCATTACCTCTTACCCACTATGTTCTTTCCCTGGAATATTAACCTCCTTGTTCTCTCCTCCAACTTAATTCACATCACTTCTTTTTAGGATACTGCCCCTGGCTAAAACCACACCACAGGATCCTTTCCTTTATTTGTCTGACTTCCTCTACATTTCTGAACTGAATGTTATCAGTCTAGTTCTTGCTTTCACCCCTCTTTTGAAAGTGCTCTTGGCTGAGATCACCAGTAGCCTACTGATTTCCAAATCCACTAGATTTCTTTACAGTCTCCATGCCACAGCACATTTCTACTATTTTTAAGATTGTGGACCATTATCTGGAAAATGTTTCTTCCGACTTTTATGACTCTGCTTTTCTCTACTTTTCCTCATTCCTCCTTCTTACTCCTTATCCTCCTTCACTGGCTTCTATTCCTGGACCCACTTTGGAATCTGGATGTACCCAATTTCTGTCCTTGATCTCATGGTTGCACCCTGCAATCCCTACCTCTGATGATGACTATAATCTCTTTCTTCCTAACACAATGCCATATCTTGGCTTGTCTTCCTTATATCAGAAGTTTCTTAACTTGCCTGCATGTTAAAGTCACTTGAGAATCTTTTGAAAGTTCCAAATTCCAGGCCATATCCTAGGCCAATTAAACCACAATCTCTGGAGACAGGGAGCTCCCAGTGATTCCAGAATACAGGCCAATTTGGGAACCACTGCCTTAAATGAATACTCTAATTTAAGCATCTTGACAAGCTTGTCATGTGGGCAGTTCTAAACTATTTTAAACATAAGTTGAGATATTAAGGCATAGAGAGTACAAGTTACCTGCCTGAGGTCACACCAGCCATCCACAAAGCTCAGATTATTTACAGGAATAATTATATTCTTCATTTAATTTGATCCTTCACCTACTCTTAATGATATCACCAATTTCTCATCAGGCTAGACACCAAAAATTTATCTTTCTCTTGGGGAACCCTTCTTATCCAACATCTAATTGGCATTAATTCATATAAATGTCAATCTCTAATCTGGCCCTATCCCTGTCTATTCCAAATGCTGCTCATTGTTACCTGCCTTGGATGATGGACTCATTTTCTCATTGGCTCCCCTGCTATAAGATGGTTTCTCTGTCTCTGTCTCTCTCTCTCAATCACTGTAACTCTTCTGCATCATCCACAGTGATAACTGAGTAGTCTTTCATATAAATAAATATGATTACTCTCCTTTTTAAAAAAACTCTATTAGTTCTATGTATTAGTTCTCAATGTGGTAAACAAAAGCCTTCAAAATTTACCCCTAATGTTTCATTTTCCAGTGACTGCACTCACTGTAACATGTAGTGGTGATATGTGTTTAGAGATGTCATATATTTTTATTCATCAATTATTCAAAATAAATTATTATTACAATATACAGATGTAACACTTTATTCTCTGGTGCACATTATTATTGGAAAATTAAAGTTATAGATAGGATTATTGAAATGCAAATTGTTTTAATTAAATATATTTTCAACAAATTATATAATTTAAAAATATTCTAGATATCATCTTTTTGATAAGTGTAATTAAATAACTTCATACAGTAATAATTTCATGACTTAATTCAAATTAGCAACTGTTAACTCATGCAAAGTTCTCTTAGTAATATGATTTTCTATTTTGCAAGGCTATTTTCTTATTCATTTTAAATTGTAGATACAGTTCATCATACTGTTTGAAACAGAAGACAATAAAATTCTGTTTCATTTCCTCTCATTAATGCTAGCACCGCTAATGATATCAGTACAGCATTGGAAGTGAAATTTAATTTTTAATGTTAATTTAATTTTATTTTTATGTATATAGTATCAGATCTGTATGTTATATGGGATTAAACAGTAAAATCTTTCAATCAAATTTTTCTTCTAAGAAGATATATTAAAATCCAGACCATAATGCACTATCCTATATTCAATTATTTAAATGGATTGAAATCTTAGAATAAGGCTTCTCTGAAATTAAAATCTTATATGGTCCACTCAAAAATGCCAGATGCAAAATTCAACTAAGGGATATCAATAACAAAACAAAATCTATTACTATGATGATTTCATACTATCAAATGCAGATAAATTCATTATTTTAATGCCCCCCCCATTTTAAGGCATACGAAATAGAAAAGTGTGTGCCCTCCTCAGGCATCCTAAATATATATTTAGTTTCAACCACATAAAGCTGTAAAATTGGCATTTGTTGAACTACAAAAGTTGCAATTTCATATGATTTAACTTATGATTAAATCCATTAAAGATGACTAGCAATAATGTCTTTTTTACCTCATCAAGATGAGTTTAGAAATGTACACGGTTTTATAAAACACTCATCCCATAAAAAAGTACAGTATTGTGTTATGTCACATTAATTCTTAGCATAAACAAATGATCCTGAACAGCATTAGACAGCTTATTTTTGATTTTTTAAAGATAAAATATAAATAAGCTCTAGAACACATTCAGAAGTTTTGCTTTTAGTGAAACAGAATTTCTAGAGTTACCGCATTTTACCTCTAGTAAATAGTATTCCTTGATATTTTATTTGGTAATTTATCATTCTTTACTTTTGTTTCTGACCAGTGAGAAACATTTTGAGATATTTTTGATTTAAGTGTTAACAAACAGTGGCTATGTTGATAGTGGTGGTTGAAAGTATTTGAAGTATAATTTAAGTAAATAAACTGAATCTGAAAAATATCTTAGCATATCTTAAGATAATTTTTATGTAATATATGAAATAATATTTTAGATCTCTGTCCTTTAGAGATTTAAGGGCCAATTATAACAAGGTGAAGAGAATGATTAAATCACACAGTTGTTCTGTGAAGGCTATGAGTATTTTTTACTTTAACTCTTTTCAAACCAATGCCTTCTATTAAAATCTCAAACAATTCAGAATCCTGCAAAACAAATTCTAATACAAAAAGATACCAATTTCTTTGCAAATAAGCAAAATCAAATAAAATCCTCTCTGATCGCCAAGAGGAGCTATAAGTACCCTCTGAACTTTGAATATCCTTACTATCAGCCATGCAAGAAGTGTTCTGGCCTTCTGGGCTGATGGCACATATGTTATCTGTATCTCTCTCTGTACTTCTATCTATCTACTTCCTTATCTAGCAAGACTATATCAATTCAAGGACCATTTAAAACACAGAAAAAGTTTACAGTTTTCTCTTCATACAAGGGTATCTTGGTTTGAAGAGGTGAATAGTTGTATCATCTGTGTGTTCTTATCCTGAGGATAGAACAGGAAAGTAGAAAATCTCCGGTTTGCTGCCTTATTTTCTCGGGGTAGTTGTTAAGAGTATAAACTGTGAATTCTGGAGTCAGACTGTCTACGTGACCCTAGGTTAATTTCCTACACCTTTCTCTACTTTAATTTCTCACCTGTAGTTGCTAGTTATCTCCTAGTATGGAGGATTTGGTGAGTTAATATGTGTAAAGCTCTTCTGTACCTGATAAGCTTTCATCGTTATTGTTTTTGCTGTGGTGGTAGTGATTGTGGCTGATGTTGCTGTTTACTGCTAGTGATAATCATGACATAAAGCAGGGCAGAAAAGGCCTGCCATCATCCTTAATTTATTTAAAGTAAGAATGAATGTACCTTGAAGGAGCTGTGGGAGCTATTCTGATCCCTCTGCCTCTAATACCTCGGCCACGACCAGAGTCCTCTGAGCCATTTAAGTAAGATAATTCACGTAGTTGTTCCTGACGAATTTCATCATTGTAGTCCTGGAAAAAAAACATGATGTGATGAGTTAAAAATGGGACATGCCGTTCTCAGAGTTGGAAAAAAAAAAAAAAAAAGAAACAAAACAAAACACAATAGGAAATAATTTTTTTCATTTGTTTCCTGGAACCTTATATGCAAAAATAAAAAATGATATTAAAAAGTGTATATATTTTAAATTCCTATTTTTATATAGAGAAATTGGAATTGCTTATTTTATCAAGAAAATACTCAGCAGGACATCACATTAGATTTGCTGAGATGTGTTAGCTGGAAAAGGGAAGACAGCAACATAAAACAAAAACTTGGAATGTACTAAAGTTATGATTGTTAACATGACAATTACTAAAAAATAACTTCATCTGAACGAATGTGTGTAGAATATGAATGACTACGTGATACTCAAATAGTTTCTGATGCATAAACAAAAACCAGCCATCCCAAGGGTCCAGAGTAGACACTGAGCATGTATTACAACCATAAAGAAGTAGGATAGTATGTCTCTACTTCAGACCACCAGCAGCTGCAGAATCCAACTAAATAGCTTGATGTGAAATTTTATTTATTTATTTATTTTCATTTTTTATTTATTTACTTTTTTCAGACACAGTCTCTGTCACCCACGCTGGAGTACAGTGGCATGATCTCGGCTCACTGCAGTCTCCGCCTCCCGGGTTAAAGCAATTCTCCTGTCTCAGCCTCCGGAGTAGCTGGAATTACAGGCGCACACCACCATGCCTGGCTAATTTTTGAAATTTTTGTAGAGACAGGGTTTCGCCATGTTGACCAGGCTGGTCTTGAACTCCTGGCCTCAAGTGATCCACCCACCTCGGCCTCCCAAAGTGCCGGGATTACAGGCATGAGCCACTGCATCTGACCACAGTGTGAAATATTTAAACACTACCAATTTTCTACGAGTTCCAGTATTGGCCTAAGGGAAAGTGTGAGCCAGAGAAAAAGGCAAATTTCACAATAACAACCAGAGATTCAGTCAAAGTCAAAGGGACTTTTTCCTTTATCAGGGCAGAAATATACCAGCCAATTCAAGAGGACACAAGAGTGGAGCTGAATCATTAAAGGTAAATGCTACCTTCAAAAAACAAGTGCCAGTGTCACCTGTTTCTCTTTTTACTAATCAACACACACACACACACACACACACACACGCTCACACACCCCTGGTTGAATAGTACAAAATTGAGTAACTGGTTATTTGTGCCAAATGGCCAATCTGATCAATTATTTTTCTGGAAACATAGTTTAAGTGAAATCAATCTAGTGGCTCTTCTAGTGGTGAGGAGAGGGGTCCAGGAGTTAACACTATATTTGTAGAGGTTTGGCTAACAGCAATATTGTCTGAGGCCTATCTGTGAGACTAAAAATTAAGATTATCATCCGCACCAAACGATGTCAGTGTAGCTCTGCATACGTGTGGTACTGATGAAAACTGTGTAGGGTCACCCACACACCTCTGTCTAGAAAATGGCAGGGAAGCATTCAGCCTCCAAGGATTTCTTTGGCACAGCTTTACCTCGTGCTCTAGAAACCACCTAGATTACAAGCAAAAAGCCCCAAAGCATTTCACTTAATTTTATTTTTAGCATGTTGCTTTCATGTTTATATTCTTCAGCACCTGATTATAGTGATAATAGCCTCAACACAGTTAGCTGACAGAAGAGCCATAGAGGAGAAAATTATAGTTTCTAACAAGCCGTATATTATTCAATTTCTACCTCCTAATTTTCTCATTCAAACAACTACACTTAAGAAGAAACATGTCTATTATTTTATTAGAATCAGGAAATATAATGAATTGCCACTACTGAGTGAACTGACCAGGTACTATCAAAATGAAACATTAATCCCATAATTTCACAACGTAATGTTTACCAGTTTCAAAGGGGATATTTGTAGCTTCTTCTCTGAGGAAAACACATAGATACTTGGGGTGCTTATGAATTGTAGAAAGATATGGATTGTCACTGTTGGCAAGACTGAGGGTTAGAATAAACATTTTAACAAATTGCAATTGAATTCAACATAGATAGAAGTGTACCTTAGAGCATAAATATTTTTTACACCAGAATCAGAAAATATAAGAATGTAGATGTGATCTTATTCATTTTATACTAATAAAGAATATGAAGAAGAAGAATGAGGAATAGGAGGAAAAGGATGAAGTCAAGGAGGCTGGGGAAGAGAGAGAGGAAGAGCAACATACTAATCAGATGGTGTCACAGACTAAGCCAATTTGTTCAGGATTCCCTGCATCCATATCCTTAGATAGTTTCCACCACACTGACTCTGGGATTTGCCATGTGATTTGCCTTAGCTAAAACATCATGACAAAAGCAGAGATTAGAAAAATGCTTGCGTATTGGAGCTTTCCTTTTCTTCTTACTGGAAATCCCTATGCCACCTGGTGAAGAAGCCTAGACTAGCTTTCTGGAGGATGAGAGGTAACATGGAGAAAGGCTCCAGTCATCCCTGCTCTCCCTGCCATCCTGTCTGAGTACCCAGACATGACAGTGAGGATTGAATCTCCAGATATCCTAAGCCATCCTGTCCCAGTCAAGCTGGTGCAGTCAGAAAAATCACCTGGCCAACCCCAGAATCTGGAGAAATCGATAATAAATTGCTGCTTTATGCCAGTAAGTATTGTGGTGGTTTGTTTTGTGCAAAAGCTAACAAATACAGAGTGGACTAGTCAGCACAGTACATGAGAGATATACTTGAGGAGCGTACTTCAGCAGCCTTTCTCCAGCCCTGCCTAGAGGGGGAGTTCTTGGGTCCATGTGTGATCTGAATGTTTCTTGGAGCAGCTGTAGCCTTAGTTGGAGGCAAATATATCCAAATGTCATATCCTGGTGTCACTACAGTTTGAATTGCCCATTTAAATCTTTGCTCAGAGTCCATGCTCACCAACTCAACTGCATTGGAGTTCAGCTCCTAGACAGAAATCTAACATGGAGGGGATTTATTATTATTAATATGAATATTTGACACTGCAGGTTAATTCTTAGTGTAAGCAAAGCAACTAATATAATGTAACTGAATTTCTTATGAGTTTAGCTAGAGGGCTATGCTTTGAGAAATAAACCACCTGTCAGAGTTGTGGTGGCCAAGAGAATACAGACCAGCAACTACAGAGGTAATTGACCAAAGATTCCAGTTGCTGTGCTCTAAAATCCTGTTGCTTCCAAGGCTATGCTACCCAAAAGCTTCTCCCAGCTGATAACCAAATGTGGTTAAATGCTAACACAGATCCATTCCTGGCCACACAGGATTGCTCTAACTATGCCTCCAGGGATTCCTTAATAGCACTGCTGAACTTACCTTATAACTTCATTGCACCAGGGCAATCCATAAGGATTCCACCCCTCTTTCCTTGAGGTCAGATATTGTAGGGCGAGGGCTCTCCAGCCTTCTTTGGTTCCCTCTTTTTTTGTCACAAGAAGATTTTCCTAATATAACTCTTACATGTTTAATCCCATTATTACATCTGCTTCTTGGAGGACCCAAACTAATATATGGACTGCTGATAAAATCAAGTTCCTAAGATCACAAGGCTGAGAGCTTTGGTAAATCCATTTATGATAATGATAGTCGAGCCTAACCCATTCAACATACTTCATACTATGTATGATTAAATTGAACTGCTTGTTTCTCTTTTACTTTAAAGTGGCTAGAGAATGGTTAAACATGAAATTGACTACTGATGACCAAAGAGGGTAGTAATGAGTATTTTTAAGAAAATAAATTGTATGTTGTCCAATTTTTTCAATACTTTACTTAATAAGAAAATAACAAAGACTCATGAAGATGGGCAAACACAAACCATATCTTGAGCCAGAGATTGGAACAAATTGGTTGACACAGATAAATTGTGGCAATAATGAAAAGATTAGTGCGTTCATGTGTGTGGAAGAATATGAGAGAGATAATATGGGCAACCACAGGTCATTTAAGAGTGCTCTAGTAGAAAACATATGGTATGAATGGGAAAGGTAGAAACAAATGAAGTTTCTAGGTGCAGAAATGGCTAGAAGTATAATGAGTCATTAGCCAGAGAAAAAGGGAAATGAAAAAAAATTTGAAGGTGGAGAATTTGTATTTGGTTCGAATAACCTTCTGTTTAAAATGTCAGAGAGACCTTCAGGCTTATCTTAGAAATTCAGATCTGGGTTAACGGAGTACATTTGAGTGTCAACTACACATACTTGTGATAACTGAAGGATGAAGACTGTCTAAGAAAACAGTAAAATTATGTATAGAGACAGAAATTTTCTAATCATAATTTTAATGCAAATTTATATCACAGAAAATAGATTGGATTAAGAAAATGTGGCACATATACACCATGGAATACTATGCAGCCATAAAAAAGGATGAGTTTGAGTCCTTTGTAGGGACTTGGATGCAGCTGGAATCCATCATTCTTAGCAAACTATCACAAGAACAGAAAACCAAACACCGCATGTTCTCACTCACAGGTGGGAACTGAACAATGAGATCACTTGGACTCAGGAAGGGGAACATCATACACCGGGGCCTACCATGGGGAGGGGGGAGGGGGGAGGGATTGCATTGGGAGTTATACCTGATGTAAATGACGAGTTGATGGGTGCAGCACAGCAACATGGCACAAGTATACATATGTAACAAACCTGCACGTTATGCACATGTACCCTACAACTTAAAGTATAATAATAATAAATAAATTAAAAAAAAAATAGTTGATTTATCAATTGCAATATTTATATCATTAAATGCTAACTTACCCAGATTTTTAATAAATTCTGGTTTTCCTGATTAGATAATCAAAACATATGCACCACATTATTTATAGCAATGAGGCACTTAAATGCTTCAAAAAAAAAAACACGGAAGAAAATTTTTTTTTTTTTTTTTTTTTTTTTTTTTTTTGAGATGGAGTCTCACTGTATCACCCAGGCTGGAGTGCAGTGGTGTGATCTCGGCTCACTGCAACCTCTGCCACCCG